TGGATTACAAAGTAAAAAAAACAAACATTTCGATCATGGATTACAAAAAATTCGATCGTGGATTACAAAAAATTCTATCATGGGTTACAAAAAAAAAAAAAAAATTATGTTCTTCACAGAGTCGTTTTACATAAGCGATTTTAACTCAAAAATTCACCTCTAAGTGAATAAATTACATCCAATTGAGTATATTTTCTGATAAACAACAATATAAGGAATCAAAACCCTAAATTTTTAACACATTATTTCTAATATATTGTGAAAACAAAATCAAAAGGCGGAAAAAAAAAAAAAAACAAGCGGAATTTGGTTCCGCAGACATCTCAGTGTTCATATCAAATATCTTGCTGTAATTGACCAGATTACGTAAAATTGAAAATTTTAAATCATACTAGACACAATAAAGATTAAAAACCCTAATTATTGAACTCATTATGTTCAAAATATGCCGTGAAATAAATCAAATGGCGGAAAAAAAAAAAAACCCAAAGTTCTTACCTGATTTTGTGAACCGAAGCCTTCAATCTCCAAAAAACTCTGTTTTTCTCAACGATTATCACAAATTAGTAACAAAAGGTTTTGATTCAAAGATTTAAGATCAAAATGCCTACAAATTTTGAAAGATTCATAAGCTATTTGGCATGAAACTTTCAGAAAAGGCGGAAACCCTAAACACCGAATTTTTCGTGATCCAAAAACAACAAATTTTTCCACCATTTAATCCTTGAAAAAGCTTAATAAAGCTGTTTACAGTCTACAAATTAGATCACATGCCAAAAAAAACAAGAAAAATGATAAAAAAATGACAAATTTCAAAGAATCCCGTGAAAAACACTGTGCAACCCGTGTTCTTCACGGACTCGCCGATTCCGCACAGTGAATTGGCGAGTCACTGTGCGGAATCGTCCGGTTCTCTCTAAAACCGGACGATTTCCGATTTTTTTACCAATCCGGTCCCTTTTCGCGAATTCCGAGTCTCGAACGTCTTTTAAAACGCTGCTCATAAGGGTTATGGCTGAGATTCTCCCCAAAGTCATCTAACAAGTTATACTCTCTGTCCATCATCATTCAGACCACTGATTGGATGGTGTTGACCTAATTACCAAATACCCCCTTGCGGTCCTGAGGATTACAATTACTCTCACCTGAGGGAGGCAATAGGCCGGTAAGGGAGGCAATAGGCCGGCCCCGGCCACGGCTTTGCCCGGTCCTTGTCCTCATAGGACGTGCTAGGCTCGGCCCTAACCTTGTCTGGGCCAGGCCGAGCCAAAAACAAATAAATAAATAACAAAAAAACAGAAAAAAGAGAGAAACTTAACCTGAGCCCTTCTCCACAGGCCACAATCAACTTCTCCTCCTTGTCAGGAACCAGCTCTTCCACCTCCCGCAAGAACTTCTCATTGATGGTGGTGAGAAGCTGCCCAGTCCACAATCCAATATACCCAAAGTGCACCCACTTCTTCAACAATGTGATAGGACCACTGTCTTCCTCCTTCACAAATAAGGGAACATGCAGAGAACCACGGACAAAAGCCTTCTCTCTCTCCCACTCTGGCCTGATATCGAGCAACTGAAATCCTTCATTTTCTATGAGAGATGAGGCATCTTTAGCCGTTATTTGTTGTACAGAGCCGGATTCTATCAATTTCCGGCCACTTGAAAATGCAAAGGTGGTTGTGAGCTTAGGCGAATGTTTAGTCAGAGAAAGAATGGTGTAGTTGTTGGGGGTGAAAGGTTTTGGAAGGGGAATAGCCATTGTGACTGAGAGGTTCCAGTTCCCTTATCCACCACACTCTTTGCCTCGTAATATCTCTCTATGACCCATAAAATATCTTTGTTATCCTTTTAATATTTCTATGATAAAATGATTGGAAATGTATGAAAAATACCATCAATTTTGGTATCGGGTACAAAAATGGGTATGTCACGAGCATCAAATGTTCTGAGAAAATTACCGTGAATTTTTTTTGGGAATAATGAAACACCTTGTGTCGCCTGATCTCACATATGATGGTGGGGATTTATTGTGACCTAGTATTTTAAGACCCGGTGATTTCTGATCCCACTAGGCAATCTGGATGGGAATTGGGTGGGGACCGAACCGGTGTTGGGATGATGTGGATCCCAACGTGTTTCGTTCCAAACCCCATTATATAGGTTTTTTTTTTTTAATCCTATCTAATATTTTTTTTGGTCTCTTCCAAATCCATACCCCATAAACACCTATTTTTTTGTTTTATTGTATTTTATTTTATTTTAATAGATCGCCTATTAGGGCCAATCCACAATGTCGATTTAGCGATCCGTCCCTCCGATTTGGGTTTTGAAACACTGTTGTGACCTCCTTTTACTATAAGTAGAGTGCCATGTTTAAAAATTGAACCGGCCTCGGAAACCAACCAAGGCCTGGGTCCGAGTAACCGGTAAACTAGCCGGTTCAACCGGCCTAACTAGGCAAGTCCCCGCCAATCCAAAAAAAAAATTAAAAAATAAAAAAGCCAAAAAATTCAAAAAAATATTAAAATTATATTTTCATCCTGATTAAACAAAGCACATCCAATATAAAGTTTCAAATTAGTGGGAAAAAATATATTTAAAAAAAAATCAATTTGTGCCTAGGGATATTTTCAAAAAAATTAAAAAGATGAGAAATTGTGAAAATAAGTATTCATGCCCAAAACAATTCCCAATCTTTGCCAAAATGATA